GCGTGGGAACGCGAGAAGACTCGGGTCCGTGCGTGAACGCCTCCGTACTGTTCGACTAGCGGTCATGTCCGCGTTCATAAATGTAGATCGGGCGTCCGCGCTCGCTGATAATTAAGACCCGCCTCGTCCGCCAGAGCCGTCTCGCCGGCTCGTTAATTAGGAATTTTCCTTTTCAGAGGTCATTTTTACGCGGTGGACTCATTTGCATTTAATCGCGACCGCGGGCACCGTCGTTTCGTCGTGTTACGGCTTCGCTCCGTAGCCCGTGAAATTGCCATGTCTCGTTGCGAAATCGGCGATCGCGGACCGATCGTAGGTGTAAGAGGAACAGAGGTAACGGGGGCATGGGCCTATTCTTCGAAATAAGAAAGAGTGATCGCGAGATTTACGTTTGTTAGGTTGCGAGAAGGAGTTCTGTGCTTTGTAGCAGGTTCGTGCTGCAGCTTTGTTCGAAATTGAAGTGTGTTTTTGTTGAACGTTTATTATTTAAATTCGAACATTCGACACTCGGAAAAACTGAGACACTGCACCTCTGCAGTGTTGTTGGCTGTCTGTTCTTCTGCGCAGCTTGTGCGCCTCAAAGAGTTAAGACAGCCTAAGTCCATTTCCTGGTCACTTAATTTCCAATTGCCCTGATCGCTCAGCTTTAGACGTAACAAGAAGCACGAGTGTTTGTCGACTGGTTTCATCGAAAACTCTGCAAAGTATCCGTCAAGCAATTCACCCAACGTCGCGAACACGGCGATCCTTCGGCACGTGCTTTGTTTGATGTTCCCCGTTTGCAATAAAGCAATCGCTAACAGTGGCGCTAGATGAAATTGTGTTTCATCGATTTCTAACGCGGAAGCTCATCCCAGGTTGGATTCGCGTTGGTCGACGCAGTATAATCGATGTATTATATTTTGACGGGGGTAACACACCTATATTTGGGGTCGTTAATGCGCGCGCGCCGTGTCCAAAGGAGCCGATTCAATTTCAGCGGGCAATCACGGCGCATTACGGAAAATAGGAGAAATCTGGCGAAAGTAAACGTAACATCGGGCCGCGGCTCTTGCAATCGCCGCCGTAATAATGCAATATGTAATAATAATAAGAGGATAATAGCGCATCGGGGCTGCCAGAATGTGGGCAAACATAACGAACCTCGCGCAACGCGTTTTCACCCTGTTAGCTACGCCTCTGAATAGTTCCCTCTCTAATTTTACGATCATCGACTGGTCGATTGGTCGTGCGAGCGAGGAGCGCTCGTAAATACGACGCCTGGGACGTCTCGAATCGTAGATAACGCTTATTAATTGTACGATATCGTAAATGTTGCGTAAACGAGGTGGTATACGGCGCAGGTTGCTAGCCTTTATTGCCACGTTACGCAATGTCATGATATTTTCCAGCTCGTCGTATTTGAAATATCGAGTTGGTACGCTGTGAAATATTTCTCTGAATGCGAAAGAAAGCCATACTTTAGTTCGAGAGGACGATTTTTTGAACGTGTCCGTCTCGAATCCTGTATTATTAATCTGATTGGTTCGTTCTTGAACGCGTCTACGATTAAATAATATCGAATGCGACAGAAGTAATTGCACTGGTAGACAGTGCGTTGGCTGTTGACAGATTCTGGAAAATGGAATAAAAAGGATTTTTATTAGGTCTCTAAAATTCTATTTAAATTTATCGATGCGCATGGTTGTACACTTCTAGGTAAACTATGTTCTTTGAAGAGAATACAATACTGCTGGATTAATCTATAAATATTAAAGCTCTGCTATTTATAATGGAGTAGAGTCTCAGAGTAGACCCCTCTATTGACTGTTGCGTAACAGGTTTGCAGATCAGATATTGGCTGAAGATTCTTGAACCTCTTCGAAAAATCCATCAGTCGATGTGTGTATTCGATATAGTCTTGGACATGATTCCCGTTTAGAAAGGTCATTGGAAACTCTCTTTTCTAGAGAGAAATGTCCACTTCTACCATCAGCAGTTATTTATGAATATGCGATGTATGCAAAGACGAAAAACGTACACTGAACGTGTGCACGTGTACGTAACATCTATAAACATTATGCATATATTTTTCACATTAGAAAGAAAAGTTAATGGTCAGAATAATCACAGGTGAAGATCTATATGCTAGAAGCAAAGAAAAGGAAGATGGAACAACTGATTTTAGTTTTCGTGTTTCGTGGCAAAATAAGATGAAAATATAAGAAAAAAACATTATTTTACAGGAGCTTTCTTTTTAGGAAAAATTCAGTTTTTAATTTCGTCGGACACGCATGCGATTGAGTGCAACGCGACGAACTCGTCTGTCTATTACTCACTCGTTCTACTTACGTTGGTGGTACGAGGGTTAGAGTATAGCAAGATCGACAAGAAGCACTAACGTAAGAGAAATATTTCATAAAAACATTATTTAAATACCATTTATTCTTCAATGTCGTCGAATGCTAACGAATCGATCACTTTTTACGGTAGCTAGGTCAATTGTGACCGTTATAAATTTCATTTTTTGATTAATTGTATTAGTTCTGATAAGATTCTTTTACTTCGTCAATTTTTAATCATCAAACCATTGATGTATTTTACACTAGCAATCACAAATTCAATGCAGTCATACTACAATTTCTATCCAAAAGTAGAATTAATAACCCGGTGTTAGATTGTACGGTTGACTATTGCTGAACAAATATTAAACTCTAATAAACAAATATAAATATTAATTCGTATCTTCATGCAATAGTAGAGTCACTATCATACTATTATCATCACCATCGTTATTACTAACTATCGAAGCTAAGTGTGACAGACAAATCAGCTTCGACAGCTGAACAAGGAATGGGTTTAGCCATCACAAGTAAATGGTTTCGATTTTCGTCTATAATGCACCAGTGTCGTCATTTTCTCTGACGTCACCCTCGTTGGCGTCGATGTTCCGACCACGGCAATAAGGAACCACGCTATAATTCCCGCACGAGCGCCACCGTGTCTCTACACTCGTTCAGTGTCTGTCACGACATCGGTTATAATTGTTTTAACGTTTAATAACTGCGCTCGCGTGCACGACTCCTTCGGCACGCGTACAGGTGTAATAAACGGCTGGCCCGGATGATGCGGGCTCGAGTTAACATGCATTCTGTTACATGCACCTGCATTTACAGCTCCATCCAAGAGCTACGCTAAGGGTAAAATGAAATTCCCTAGGAATCAAAAAATAACTCCATTTTTCAGGGTTAAAATAAAATCCACGCAACGGAGGATCGACATATTCGACAGCTTTTGAAAGATGGTATCGAATAGTTCGTTATTTACCCAGAAATAATTTCATTTCAGGAGGGTAAAGATCATTATTTTCGACGAGGCTAAGGTCAATCTATTTTGAGAAATGGTGTAGAATAGTTCGTTAAGAACCTAGAAGAATTTGTTGCTCGAAGAATAAAGAAAACTTCTTTCGGTGAGGTTGAAAGCAACCGATTTTGAAGATGACGTAGAATAATTGGCTAAGATCTCAAAAATAATTTCTTTCTCAAATGATAGAGAAAAAGTTTTTTAACCAGGCCAAGACCAATCGATTTTAAAGATGTAAAATAATTGACTGTCTACCTGCCACTCTTACGGTACCCATTTTTTTGCGCAGAAGCGATTCTACGTTGACGCCGCAGCGCGATGCCATCTTAATTATTCCTGGTGTTCTCCCGTTTCACCCGAAATGACTGGTATAATTGATCCATTAGAGGACTCCGCCGTTTCCTGGCTCGCCGCACCGAACGCCGGGTTTAATCGTGTCGCAGAATGTAATTCCGAGGCGTTTGCAGTCGCATCGATTCGCGTCGGCGCCGCCGGAAAATTGCGCTCGATTGTTTGCTCGCGATTGTATTTCTGGCGCGAGTGCGCTCGTTCGATCACAGGCCTCGACAATCGATCTTTCCAACCATTGAAAAATGTGAAATATCGCGGTCGTAAAATGAAACCGAACGTCGACCGTAGTTTTTACGTTATGCTTATCGAGGGTCGTTCGACGGAGTCAGAATACGTAAATGCGAATAAATACGACGGAATATCGATCTTTCTAACGGTGCTCGGTCATCGCGATGTCCAACTCGTCGAACGTCGGTGTTTTAATGGAAAACCGCTGTTCGCTGATGGTCAACCCTAAGTGCTCATAAATCATAAGACCGCGCGTATTCTCGTACATTGAAAAACGAATCATCCGTCGAAATACGTCGACCGTTTGTTTACCGCTCCTCCTCGAACGCCGATCGCTAAATGATTCCGGTCGAAAACAGATGTTCGAATGACTCGAACATTAATTTCATTTATTTGCTCGTCAGCGGTTTTAGTCCTAACAATGAGCAATGAATTCCTGCGGTAATGAAACGTGATACAGCAGGTTTGACATAATTTATTTCGTATTATGTAAAACGTTTCTCACCGACGAACGTGATCATTCAATGCGATCTGAATAATGGATAAAGTTCAAGGATGTTTGGAAACAGTCACCTTGGAACGTAAGAATTATCTAAAATGTCCGATGCTAGCGACACGTATCGAGACTTAATAAACTAGTCGTACAAATTACAACATGTTACAGAATTAGAACTATGAGCAATGTTTATAAAAAAATATCTGTTTAATACAAAATTTGTATTCTAACCTTTGGTTTAACTTTATTTCTTTTTTTTAAATTGCTCAAGAATTAAGGTGTGTCTTATAGTCCGTAAAATACGGTAATAAAAAATTACTTACTTCGGAAGATTATGCATTTATCGTATAATACAAATTTCTTTGTTTGAATCAAAATGCAAGAATCGGGATAGTCTTGATCGTCTCGCGCGGAGAAACGGAGCTCTGGGGTCCCTCCCATTGTTCCCTCGCTAATTTTCTGCGAAGAGCAATTTCGTTTCCGAGGGATCCATTACGATTGCTATAATAGCGCTCATCAGGCCTAACCGTCTATCGCCTTTACCTTCGTCTTGTCTAATTACAGGTCACGTTTATTGTTTCAGGATGAGAGCGAGCTCTCGAGCAAGCGGTGGGCCAGTGCGCCACGCCGCCCGGACAGCCCCTGCGTCCTGGGGGCACCAACGTCTAGGGAGGTAAGCGAGCTTTCTTCACTCTTTCGCGACTAAAATAATTTTGCGTAAGACTATTACCTATAGATACCACGATTCGAGAATTGATCAACAAAACGATCCGAGACGTTATTTATATATATATAAAAAAAGGAAATATATCGTAACCCTTCGCACTCGGTGTGTGCGGTGAACTTAAGAAAATAATGCCGAAATGAACAACAGACTGTGGAGTATAGGTACAGAGAGTGTACACGTTATTACCCATTACTTTTATAAATATATTTTTCAGTATCTAATATAAACGGGTGAGTGTAATTCATTTCTCATCACGGTCCAACACTCGAGATCATTTTGTTGCAGAATATGCCAAGAGGAATCGTGTTGTATTAAATAATGTAGCATAAAAATCATGTAATATATTAGCGGTGCAAGAAAAATTGCAATTTTAGCATATTGGACTGACCAATTCCTACGATTATAAGGAATGGGACATTGTGCATGTTGCAAACTTCTTCTCTGTACCAATGCATTTAGATAAATCCTATATTGTATACCGTACCCTAAAAGACTACTACGTTTATATATCTGTTTCGATTTTACATTAAACCGCGGGAGACTCATTCGTCGTGATCATTCGCGACCCATTTGTTTATGGTGGCTGGGGATCGATATCGATCGGCGGGAAGCGCGTGTCGATTGGCCGCGAATGGAAACCCGCTTGATTCCGCGCGGTACGTGATGGCACCCGAATCGTGACTGCAGCCGCCTCTGTCGACTCGACAGACCTTCGTACGCTTTATATATATGGGCTACTAATAGGGGCCGTCAGGGTTGTTAGCAAGAACCGCGGTATGTCGGCACGTCACTCCCGGAAAGACGATTAGCGCCGACTTCGCGGCTAGGTGTCGATTTAGCTGCGTGAGCGTGCAACGATTGCGGTGTGCGCCAATGAACCTGGCTGCGAGGGATACCTTGACACGTTCTTGCAGCGATTTCATTCGTCGCCATCTTTTTTCTCCTCTTCGAGTGGTCGAGCGTTCCTCTGACATCTGTTGGAACTCGTCCAGCGACGAAAGAAATCTGCTTATGAAAGCGTTCATGGAGATTTCCGCGAGTCGAAGAAGTGGAGGATACTTGGATTTTCGTTTGGTTGGGAAAGTATGTATTTTGTTAGGGATTTCAGGATCTCTGACGTCGGTCCAACTACCTCGAGAGAAATCGACAGTGATAACACTCTCGTGGTGTTGAACGATTCTTTTAATTGTTAATTCACAGAAGAGCGGTAGCGAGGGTTGGGATTCGTGTTCAAGTCCTCTAAAGGACTAGAAGGGTGATAACGGTAATTAGGATAGCGGGTAAAATCGAATAAATGATGTGTTTGAAATTCAAACGTTGACAATTGTTGAAGTAGAGTTAGAATCGATGTGGTTTCAGCGCTGTGTTATACTGAAGGTTACGACTTGTAATATAAACTTTACGATATAGCGAGACCATTCGAATTTTAAAATTTGTATAGCGAATTAAGAAAGACTCTAAAAATGGTCTGTTTTCATGACTTCATTAAAATGCCGTTTTTCTTGTTAAAATAATCACAGAGCATATATTTAAGTGTAAAATAAAAAAAAAAGGACGCTGCACGCGATAAGTCCGCAATGTCTTAAGTATCCCCATATGAAACTATCATGAAGAAATCCAGCTCTTCCCATCAACTAAGAACATTGTCTACTCTACACTCAACCCAACGCGTTACTCAATACAGATTCAAACGTCCAATAAATTTCCCAGTATCCTTCGTTATCTTCACCAACAGAGTCCCTCGAGAAGGTTCCCACCGACACACGGCGTGGCAGCGCGTGACAGTATCGGAAAGGACTCCATCCGCGGATAATTAACCCAGCGCAAATGCTTCTCATAGTACGACGCGCGATAACGCCGTCCGAAGCGCCTCGCAGCCGTCGATTATTACGTACCGAAGGCGCACAAAGGCAGCATTATCTCTCGGAGAGAATGTTCAGAGTCGGAGAAGCGACGCAACTTGAACAGAACTCGGCTCTGATGGCCTTACGACTTATTCGCGGGACTTATTTGCGAGTACGTGGCGCCACCCACAGGGTCGGGCTCTATGATGGGTGTGACTCTCGCGTTGGTATTCGCGATGCATATTACTACAGTCGTGCGGCAACGCCGAGAATACGAGAACCGCCTCTCGCAAAAGGTAGTCTTTCTCTGGCGGCTACGTTCGTCTAACCGGTGGCTCGTAAATGCACGAGTCGTGATTAGACTCCGAAGACAATGCCGGCAGCCACGCGTTGTCTCGCCGCGTGCAACCGTATTGTGCACGTTTTTTTTTCACCTTTCCATTTTAATGCGTCCACTCGATGCCATTTATTTGCATACCTGTACACTTAGGCCTGGCTAAGAGAGGCTCTAGAAACTCGTGCGTAACAGTAATCCTTTGAAACGGCCTGTCGCGTACCATCTGCCGCGCGACACCGCGTTTCCGGTCGGCGGACGGAGCGCGTTAAATCGCCGCCTTGAGAAATCGCGATTTGATGGTGAATGCCAAGCTGTCGTCGAGGCGACCGTAAAACTGTAGCTTCTTGCGAAAAGCCAGGTCGTTCAGGCGTGTCTGGAATACGCGTGCCCCGGCAACGCTTTGCTCGAGCTGATCTCTCGATTCGAGGAGAAACGTTCGCGTTAAGGAGGATTCTGGTTGAACGTGTTCACTGTCGCGAAGTTTTCGAGAATTCTTTTAAAGGGGAACGGGTCGACGTATGAATATGATGATACTTGTTTGTCTAACGTATCGTGGTTCAAGGAAAGCTTCAAGTTGACCGCTACAAATTTTTCACAACGCTTTTTTTCCATTACGTCCATCGCGTATCCTTATTCCTACACTATGACTAATTCAGCATATTACATTATAGAGAGTAGAATGTCCAACAAATTCCTGATATAGTATCGTTATTTACTCGAAGACGGGACTATGTTATTTTCAATTGAACACAGATAATGTTTGACGGTGCAGATCAAGTAATCTTCTCGAAACGGAAACGTATTGACTAAATTTTTCTCATTTAAGATAAGTGGAAGTACCTTATCTTTAATCCTGTTAACAACGCAATTTCTGTTTGCGAAACCAAGCAGATTCGACAGTCTACGACCACTTCGTTTGGATCATTAAGGGTTCATTGTGAATCATTAAAATGTTTGCATTAAGGAGGATTCAGGTTTATTACGTTGTCGATCATATTATTTTCGAGAATTCTTTCAAAAGGGAACAAGTCGATGTACGAATGTAAACATTTTCAATCGCATTATTTGCATACGAATCGAGTAGGCATATGAATTTTGTTCTGACCATATATGCAATTCTGCTGGAGGTTGAGGAAACTGCGCGTTGCACAAGACCTTTCGGGAAATGCATACATACTTTATTGCCATTTATGACATATAAACGGGTTTCCAAAATGAGTTCTCGGATCTTGATTTTTAATAAAACACAAATGTATAAGATGCATGCGATTTTTTATTTGAAACGAAAGATAGTACAGGTATTACACAAATGTCTACTTCTCTGTGTTCTTCAAGGCTTCGAAAACTCAAAGTCTTAAAATCGAGCTTCCAAGGTTGAGCTCGAGACCTCCAAGACTCAAGCTCTTAAAGTTGAGCTCGAAACTTCACAAACTCAAGCATTGAAAATTTAAATCGAGGCTTCCTCCCTGCCAAAATCTCAAAGAACGTAGTGTACCCTAAAAGGTCTATAAAAGAAGGCTTCAGAGAACTACAGATGCGAGTACCGAGAAACCCAGATGCCCAGATCGCCGACAACTAGTAAAACATTTTCGTTATGGATTCAGACGTTAATCCGTGGCGATTTGCTTCTAATTAGGGATTCTTTCGTTCGACCATTTCCCGTCCACTGTCTATGGACAGGAGGTCAATCCGGAGCGGACAAGCGGAGAGGGCTATTTACGTCGCTGCAACCACTGTTGTTGCATCGAGTACAGTTCAATTCCGTTAGGTGGACGTAGCCGCGGGCTTCCCACGCCAATTAAACATGACTCATTAACGGGCAGAAGCCGGTAGCCGGGATCGATGCCTGGCCGTGCCTGGGCAACCCTTCTATAACTCTACGGCGCAGAGGCAATCGGAACTAATCTCGACCATCCTCTTCTCTACCTAGGCTGTTCGCAATGCGATATTACCGCGACTAACCTGCACGCCGGCGTGCACCGGCCACGACGGCCGCCGTACCGCAATATTTCTCTTCGTTCACGTGGCGCGCGTAATTGTGTGTAAAGACTTCGCGGCCCAGCAGAGATACATCGCCTTCGTTTGACGTTTACGTTATAATTCCGCCATCGTAGGTAATTACGGGACGAGGACGAAAATCTTACGCCAAATTGTTGTGAAAGATTGTGGGATTAATTACTTGTTGAATGATCAGACTCCTATTCACCGAGTCTCTATGAAGGGATCTTCAAAATGTGAGGAGCACTGGTCTAGATTAGGCAGTCACGAGGGATGAAAGACGGCGCAGACAACGCTGGGAAAGATTGTAGGATGATCAGCCTCTTTTGTTGTTATTCACCCTGAGTCACTATGCCTTCGTCGATTAGTTAGAATCTGTAGTGCAGGTCACTCGGTGCAGTGCACGAGGGTGGAGTCAGGTTCGGTCCTCGGGCACAGGTACTGACCCTCGGTATAAATAAAAGGATTCATGTCACACTTGTCGTAAGGAAATCCGTTCTTTGTGACTTCCTTTGTGATTTCCTGGTCCCAAAACTGAGACTAGTAATCCCGATGTTCCATTGCGATAATTTTACAACAACATTCGTACCAAGAAACAAATCGACCTGGTTATGAAAAACCACATCGATTCTCACCAATAGTTGCACATGTTCTTTAGGCAATATTTTGTGCTCCAAACATCACAGAAAGAAACCTGTCCTAATCCTCTACATCTGTATCTTCCAGTGTCAGATCATCCAAAAACCCTATTAAGTTTCCATCTTAGG